CATAGGCTTACCACAATGGATTGGATGTGAATATTTTTTCTTGTTTCTTTTAAATTTTGGAGTTCCAATATACTGGTAGGTTGTTTGAGTCTTTGCTATCATTATATCCCTTTCACATTGATAAAGTCTTATTTGAATTATGAAGCTATTTTATTAAAGGAAATAATCCCTTCGGCTATTTCTTTCTGTTGTGCCAGTTTAAGCAAAAGTCAGCATTTAGAAGTTTCCATCAATCCACTTTATAATTGTTAAGTAAAGGAAAAAATGAGTTTTCTTTTTGTGAATCTTCCATGACTAGCATGTTATTAATTTAGAGTGTTTATTAGTATTTGAATGATAGAAGATAGCTATTTTATCAAGGTGAATGTCTTGGATTTAATTTTGACATATGGAATGTGAGTAAATTTAGTAAAGAAAATTAAGAGGCTACTGATTACTCTTGTTGAGTGAATTGGGCCAAGGGAATAGTGTGCACAAATGAAATTAGATTTAATAAAAAAGGGGGCCACGTTAGATCTTCGGTATACATGGGGTTGGTCTTGAATCATAATGTATTGGGTCGGGTTTAATAAAGATGCATATTGGCCCAATGCCAATAAATAAGCTAGTGGCCCATACTTTCTTTCAATAAGCTGTTGCCCGTTCTCTTTATTCAACTGTTGGTGATTCCTCTGGTGGCTCATTTCCTCAAAACAAATAAAGGTTGTCCGAATTCATGTGTCGTATTTCTCAAATAATAAATTCGAATCAGTTTAAACTAATTAACATAATTTAATCGCTTTCTTAATTAATTAATTTAAGCACCAAGCAGCTAATAGGCGCGTTAACTTTTTTCATTCACGGACTCGCTTGCGTAGCGTGATATTTAACATTCAATAATTTAATTCACTAATCTCTTACTATATCTATAGTTTTAGTTAAATTTCTAATCCTTTCACCATACTTGCGGATTCGCTCGCGTAGCGCGATAGTAACTTTTTAATAGCGATAGTAACCTTTTAATAAATAATTTTCTCAAAAGCACAAATACAGTAATTTTTTCTGAAAATAATAGCGTGCTAATAATCCTTTGTCATAACTGCGGATTCGCTTGCGTAGCGCTGTCACGACAAAATTAATAAAATTCGTTTTGGTCGCATATTCGTTTTCGTAGCGCGGTTAGGACAATTTTATACTATTTATATCATATTTTTTTTAACAACTTTAATAATTAAAAGCGGATAGGTAAAACATGAAAATACATATAAATCGCAGTTTGTCCAAAATTAGCTCAAGCCAAGTTTTAAGTTAATAAAGCGACCGTGCTAGAACCACGGGACTCGCGGAATGCCTAATACCTTCTCCCCGGTCAACAGAATTCCTTACCCGAACTTTATTTTCGCGGACCAATAAAAATAGAGTCAAACTTTTCTTTGACTAGGGATTCAAATAAAAGGTGACTTGGAAGACCGAAAACCAATTCCAAGTGGCGACTCTACAAATAAAATAATCCCTACTCAAATTTGTCACTTCAATTGGAAAAACTCTTTAACCCACCATAATATCCATACACATACATATTTTTCGGGGAGTAGAAAAGGGGTGTGACAGCTTGCGTAGCGCTGTTATGATAAAATTAATAAATTTTATCTCGATCACGCATTCGTTCGCGTAGCATGGTTATGACAACATAATTTATCCAAAAAAAAATCATTTTTCTTAATAAGTCTAATGATCAAGAAATAGAAATGGATGGGTAAAACATAAAAAAATCCTATAAATCACAGTTTGTCCAAAATTAATTCAAGTCAAGTTTTAAGTCAATAAAGCGACCGTGCTAAAACCACGGGACTCGGGGAATGCCTTATACCTTCTCCCCGGTCAACAGAATTCCTTACCCGAACTTTGTTTTCGCGGACCGATAAAAATAGAGTCAAACTTTCCTTTGACTAGGGATTCAAATAAAAGGTGACTTGGAACACCGAAAACCAATTCCAAGTGGCGACTCTGTAAATAAAATAATCCCTACTCAAATTTATCATTTTAATTGGAAAAACTCTTTAACCCACAAACCCATACACACTTATATTCTTTTTGGGGGTGGGAAAAAGGGGTGTGACAGTATAGACGTAAAATCTTGGAGGTAGGAGTAATGAAAATCATCTTATTCAGAATACAAGAAGGTTTATACTAAATTTACCCTAATATATCCCAATACTAAGTTACATTAGAAAAAAAGATTTAAGATTGTGAGGTGCAATGACATCCGTCGTTCCATTCCATAATAGTTCAGCAAATTGCCTGTTGGCTTCTTCTGTGGGATGACTGGCATCGAAAAACACATGATCTGTCGCATTTGGACATAACTCAAACTCTTTCACTTGCCTTTTACCTCCACAACTATTAATTCCTCTAAATTGACCTGTACCACAACATGCTTCTATTGATACTTTAAAACCTGCACAAACAAAATAAATTGTCATTCAAATGAAATACGTCGTACTCTCCATCTTAGACAGAGGCGAACTCAAGATTTGAAGCGGACGGGGCACATAAGCGAACTGCTCAACCATTGCCCTCATCGGACTTTTGATTAAGTCTTTCAAGCAAAATATATGAATGTGTTCAACATATATATAAATATATATTCGAAATTCTTTTCCGAATATTAACAGAGTCCGGTCCATACATAGGTCCACCTCTGATCAATAATCGATCGAGTTCAGAGTATGAGGGTCTAACTTATTTGGAATGTGTTGGATATATATGAAAATAGAAACTTACCATATTTGGAAGGGTTATCAATTCTTTCAGTAAAGAGTTTGAAAAGATCAAATAATGTATAGTTAAATCCAGTCAAATTCTGTTGTAGTTGGTTGAGCTTTTGGGGAAGAGCAGAACTGTGCATTTGCAATAGGCCATTGAGTTCTTGCATGCAGTCACCACTTGTACCATTTAATTGTTCGTTAAATGCCCTTCCACCAGGGGAACAACCTTCTGGAGGCAACGTAAATATTGTGAATTTTCTCCCTCCTTTGTTGTAAATTTCCTGTTACATTATAATGATTCAAATAATGTTAAATTAAAGGTTCAACAACGACAATAATAATATACTCGGTGTGATCACATAAATAGGGGTCCGGGGAAGGTAGGCAAGGGCGTATGTAGTGTATAGCAACAAATAGTATATTTGAACCCATAGCTTTAAAAATATAATGAGTTCAATGCTAAAAAATTTAAAGGCTGAACCCGCATGGTTTAAATGCTGGATCTGCCTCTGAGGGTAGGCTGTATGCAACCTTACCCTACCAATATAATGTGAGATAGAGAGATTGTTTCGGATAGACCCTCGGCTCAAGAAAAGTATTGTCAAAACATGTTAGAAAATACAAGAGTAAAAAAGTTAGAATAAAAATATAGAAAACATTAAGAGAAGTATTGACAACAAAAATAGTAAAAAAATGTTAGATAAAAGGTTATAAAATAAAAATCTTAAAACCAAATTGCACGTTACATTGATTCATATGACTCCAAATAATGTTGATAATAATGTCATGATTACCTTTAAAATAGCAGTAAAATTACCCAAAACCATCTCTGAAAATTCTTCCTTTGGAAATGGAAACTTAGGATTGGAAAGGTAAGGGAAAGCATAATCATTACTTCCAGTGCTAAACATGTATACTGCATCAGCGACGAGTTGTTGTGCCTGTTTTTGCCCTAATTTATTCTCCAACAATTGAACCACCTCATTAAAATGTGCCAACTGCGTCGGAAGATCTATAACCTGTAAATTGGAACAACTTTTGTTAATTTGGTACAGAGACGGAGCTAGGATTTTAAGCTTTTGGGTTTAGGTTTTTTATAGTCTTAAGTTACTGGGTTTTAAATTAACAATTTATACATATTCAATGAACTATTTTAGACAAATACAAGGTTCGAACCAAAGCTACTGCCTTTGACCGAACACGCTCTCGCCACTCTAGCTCCGCCCCTGATTTGGTGTTAATTTCGTAAAAATATTTGAATATTTTCGCAGAGAAGATAGTGTGTTTTTATAGTTATACTAAAAAACCACGTACACACCGAAAAGAGATGCAAAATGAATTTTTTTTTATTTTTTATTTTTTATATATATACAAATAGCCAGCCGGATTCACTATCGATTGTTTCTCGCTAGTATATATATATATATATATCT